TTTCTAACGCCTTATTCTCTTCTTGAATTTGAGCTCAATTTCATTTATGTAGAGATCATCAATGTGAATGATTTAAAATATCGAGCAAAAATCTTCCCGACATTTGAAGGATATGAGAGAAAAATGCTTCGGAAAAATGGGAAGGCGAAGGATATGAGAGAAAAATGCTTCGGAAAAATGGGAAGGCATCGGTAGAGGATGCTCATATAAAAAATAGAACTAGTCAAATACATGAACTCATCTCATTTGAAGCAATACAAACAACTATTGAGAATTGATGAGAGAGAAAGAGAGAGAGAAGAGGTGGTTAGAAAAAAAAAATAGTTGAACTATTTATGCCAAAGGGATAAAAAATTTTTATAATTGACTAATTTTAGATAAAGATGGCAGGTGTCATGGGAAATTATGAAAAAGAGGTCAAGCAACATTCCATGCATGAAATAATAACAAGTGTGTTAAAAGGGAGACGTTGAACCTATAGATGCATAACTAGTCATCCACTAAAATAAATGGACCAAGCCCTTGGGCTTGTATCAGGTTAGTAAAATTTTGATTGCAGTGTTATGCCTAAAGAATGGATTGATCGAAATGGTAGAATACTAATAAATTATGTGAGGCACACGCTATATCTTTAACAAGTCCATTGACTCTTCAGATTAAGAAAATTGGTGATATCTAGTTCAAACATCTTTACAAGATTATGGAAGTCAATGGCCATACAGGTGATAATCAACAACCAATCAAGTAATCTGATTGCAACAGCTAAGTCAATGGATAAGAGAGAATTTGTATTGGACTTAATGAAAGGCACGTTGCACAGATTTAAAGTTAGAAGATATTAGAAGAAAATAAGGTGTATTTATATGTATCTTAGAAGGCAAAGGCTATTAACTATTTCATTTATGGGTCAAATGTGGGTACTAAATCTTATGGAAAAGTGAACAAATAACTGAGAGCTTGTGAGGCTAGATATAAACAGATTTGCCACTTTAACTTAGACAATAAAAAGTTCGTAAAAACAAAAACAAACTCTTATTTCTCTGTCTATTTCTGAAATCATGAGGGAGTATTTTGGTGCCACGTTTTATTTTGTATATCTATAACAAATCCTTCATTGAGGTACTTAGAGAAGTTGATTCCAATATGAGTTCCTCCATGGGATTTATATATGAAATGATGGAAGTTGCCAAGAAAAGGATTGCAGAAGCTCGCTAAGGGATTGAAAAGAAGTATATAGTTTTCAGAATTTAATTGAGAATAAATGGGCCAGGAAGCTACAATGCCCTTTACATGTGTCAGTTTACAATCTTAACTCAAATATTTCAAAGGGATTAGATTTAGCAATATCTAGAGATTAGGAAAGAATTGTTTAAGTGCAAAAACAAATTTTTTTCTATAATAAACAAATGACTCAAATGAAAACTGAGATGAATCACCATAAAATAAGCGGAGAAAATTCATTCTAAGTTTGCTTAAAAACAATAAACTCCCACCATCTAGTATTGCAAACTTTCTAATTTTATTTAACTATGCCTCTAATTGCATAATTTTAATATTGCACCAAAGGTATATTGCACAAAAAATTACATGTAACAAATGTTAAGGAAGTGGCCTCTGATGATGACTGGAATGTAAAGTAAGAAGACCTATGCTTTTCGTTTGATTTTAAATTGATGGAATGAAAAGAACAATATACATAATTTAATTGTTATTAGAAATTATGTGGCAAGATAAGAGGATGGGGCAACATAAAAAACTCTAAGCAACAACAAATTATTGTGAGAAGCTCTACTTGATTCATCTTTTACATAGTGGATAACTTATTTATTTTTTCATGGCCAAGATGTGGATGAACTGACATGATTACTAAAAATTTTGCAACATCGTTCGTGATAAACTTTGTCATGGTGAGGAATGAATGTGAGATGACATCAAAGAAGAAGATGCAAATGTTTCCATTGATGAGCATAATTGGATATAGTTTTAGAATATAAGATATATTTCTTTGATGTTGAAAAGTTACTTTTTTGTTTCAAGGTAATTAATGTAATGATGTTTAAATGTGTCTTATATTACTAGGTATGAAATGTCATATATTTTATTTCTTTGATTTCATTCATCATAATATATTTCAATATTTCTCTAAAAAACTGAAGTTGAAATGACGCTTATGTCTCATTCAAAATATAGTTTAAATGCATGCTTCATGCATCCTCTTTTAAAACATTAATAAAATCTTCAATTTTCAATTCATATAATAATGATTTGCATAAAATCATGCATCAATAGCATTAATGGCTTTACAACCTTGCATGTAGCAAATAAAAAGGTATGTTTTGCCATCATATTATAGCTCCATGTATCATATATCAATTGAGTCATAACAATAAAATGCTGCAATCGAAATCATCCAATTTTGTATAAACAAACTTAAATGTCAATGAAGTTAAACTTACTCAAAATTAAGCGACTCATCCCTAATTACATGGTAGAATACATCTTAAATAATGCCTCTAAAATTCATAATGTTATGGTAGAACTCACACATACCCCAGTTATAGCTCCTTTTTCCTTATTCCCTTTTCCTAAATTAATTCCCCAAGGACAATCCTTCTACCTTACAAAGTTAGCTTCTTGTCCAAGCAAGTTCCTGAGGTCCGCCTTGCCATCATTGTTGATCTGGTTAGACCAAAACTAGAAAGATCCTAGACAAGTCTAATTCAATTTATAGCTCGACTCCCAAAAACTTAGTTCAAGTGTGAATTTGCAGCAATTATCCTCCTTAACTGATATATTTCATAACTACACATGGAGATGTGTATCCCTTCTAAATTTATTTGGATTATGCATGCAGCAAAAACTCCTCTCTATCACACTAAATTATTCGTTTCTTGAAAGACATGCAATCATGTCCTACATATCTACCTAATATATCACTAAGATCTTAAGCTTAAGAAAATATCCTCAACAAGGAGCAATCGCATGTACTTCAATCATCAATATTCTCAGTGATTGAACTCAAAATATGTGCTAACAACCAGCTTTGATTTTGAATTCAAAGCTATTGGTGAAAGAATAAGTTGAGTATTCAAGGCATTTGCAATTTTGATTTGAATGATATTTGAAGGATCTCGAGTGAATTATCTTGTGAGTGTATCATAAAAGCACTACATAGTAATGTAGCAACATTGTGTTAACATAATTGTGTGTCGTTGAAGGTTAATTTGGACATTTTCTACTTTCTTTTAGATGCCCACAACTATTTTATTGCACAAAATGATTTTTGTGCCATTGTTTAAAAACAATTCTTCTATGAGGTGGACGAAAGATATTACACATAAGAATGATTAATAGGTCAGTCCATGCGAGATTCATCCATTTCTTCTACTATGTTTACCATTCCATATCTCCTATTCCTTTTGTATGTGTAGCGCTAACGTGGCTTTGAAGTGTACCGAAATGCATAAAAAAGCAAGAATCATTTGTTAATGGACACGAGCTTCAAATTTTCGAATGAAAGATAGTGGAGTTTAATTTCAAATGGCATTGTTCTTGTGTTGAATGAATTGAATCCCTTCAAATCAATCAATGTAGCTTAGTAAATCAGAGAAAAATTATACTTTAAGTATATTTGCTTAAACCATTATTTCTACAATTAAAAGATATGTGTAGCATAACTCAAAGTAGGACAATTGAATGTCAGGGTCCTTTTTTAAAAGTTATTTACTTTTCTCCTTATAATTTATTGAAATTCAAGCATTTTTCCATATTAAATCTCATATTTAGTCATCATATTTACATTATATTAGATCATATTTAATTAGAGTGCCTCTCAACTTAGACTGCTATAGGGTTTATCTACATCGAAACTGTAAACAACTAGCAAACCAACGTTTCTAAGATTATCTTTACGTGGAACTAATAAGGCAATTCAGAAAACCAAAATTGCTTGTGATTTCAGTACATTGTCTGCTAGTACAACATAAGCTCCATCTAGCAAAGTGAATCACCATAAGAAAATGACAGAGAAACCATATACAATAAGGGGGGTTGAGTAAAAAAGCAAATGGAGAACCACAATCACAAAGAGAGCAGTCTTCTAACATAAGGAAATAGTTGGTAAGCAAAAATTGCAAACAAGGAGGAATAATAGGATTGAGGATTTTAAATCAGGAGGATTAAAATATTGATTTTTCTTTAGAATTAAGTAGAATTATTTTTCTTATAAAAATCCGAAGTTGTTTGACTTACAAACAAGTTAGCTGACAAAGATTTTTAAGCAATGCCCGACAACAACATGAGTAAAAAATGGCTCCTTTGCCCAATCATTATCAAAAGATCTCCTTTTGTCAAGAAAAAAAGAATGGAAAGGCGCACATTTCTATAGTTTGTCCAGTAAAACCTTGAATTATTCTCAAAGGGTCATGTCTTATATCACCCCTCCCACAAATCTAGAGGCCACCCAAGCTAAAAAAAATAACTGGCAAGTTAGACCGCCACTTTATTGTCCTTAGCATCCATTTAAAGCAAGGCCAAGGAGAAAATTTCAGAAAGTCGGGCCCCCAGGCACATGTCCTATTCTAATGTACTTAAGATTTTAAAAAAAAAAAAACAATTCAATAGAGAAAGCAGAAACTCAGTAAAGATAAAAAATTTAAAAAAATCTACTAAATTTCAACTTAGAATTTATCAGTCATTTTTAACTCAATTCATGCTTCATCAATTTCTATAGAGCCAAAAAAAAAAATCAATTTCTATAGAGCCATAAATATCAATTCATACCGCATCATCACTACAAAGGGAAAAACAGGAATAGCAACATAAAATCTTCTCATCTCAAAAAAGACTAATTAATTCACAATCAAGCTATCAATCCAATACATAACGACACAAAAAACGCATAAGAATAAATCTGCAACTAATTAAGGTTGTCAAACGAATCATAGTCACTTCATGACGAAAAAACATACATAAGGACAGGTACATTGACAGATACAAACCTTCCCCTCTGAATTTCCCTATTCATGGCCTCAATCTCATCCCTCATAGCGGATGCTTGCCCTAGCTCCTCCCTGGTACGTGAAAGCTCCACTTTCAGCCCCTGCAACCGTTCCAATAGGTCATTCCTCGCAGCACCAAGCTTCTGCACGTCAGCCCTTACCTGCGTTAACTCGGCCCGCATCTCCTCGACCACACGAGCCTCGGCATCAGCCTTCAAAGATCGTTCGAGCACCTCACGCACCTCCGCATCCCGCTCCACTTGTGCCCTAGCAGATGCAGCGGAGGCAACGCGGAGCTCATTACGGGAGGCATCGAGCTCCTGCTTTAGGGCGACGTGTGTAGCGGCAAGGTGCTGATTGTCGGAAAGGAGAACTTGGATCTCACGGTACTGAGCCGCGAGGCGATCTTCAAGGGCTATGATGGAGGGGGGAGGGGCGTGAGGCAGCGGGAGGCGACGGAGAAGTGAAGTTTCGTCGAGAATGTGGACGATCTGCGGTTGTGGGCCTAACCGAGTAGGCTGGCCATCGCGAAGATGGAGGACGTGGCTGGGGATGACGCGGCCCCTTCCTGCCATGGCTTGCAATTGCAAGATAGTGTGTATTGGAGAAATTAGGGTTTTGATGAAAAGGAAACAGTGAAGAAGGCTGATGGCCGGAAATTTTGGTTTAGGAGAGCCGTTGAATAGGCTAATTAGATTCAATAGATTGTGGGTACTTTGCTGCGGAGAATTTTGCGTGTAAATTCCACCTTTACTTATTATTCATTATGCTCATCTACTAAAATAATTTATGATTTTCTCAAAATTAAGAATTCATTTATGACGGTTTTCTGTTGCTTCTTAAAAAAAAAATTTTGGTGCAAAAAATTTAATGTTTGTACTAAAAAACTATTTTAAGAAGCAGTAAGAAAGCAGCTCCAAACGAAGCATAAATCTTTATCCAAAACAAAAGGTAGATTTTCATAAATAATACTCAAAATTATCCCATTTGCATATTTATATATATAATTTACAATTTACTCACATAACTCTTATTTTCTATATTTAGCATCTAAAACTTATTATTTACTCACATAGCACTTAAATCTTTATAATATAAAATTATCACTCTTCTCGCCCTCTTTCGTGATTTATAGTCGCCGAACTTCTCTTCATCAATCACAAGTCGTCAATCCAGTCAATGCTTACTAATAAGCTCTCAACACCATGTTTTCACCTCGTATCATCTTTCATGCATCGTTAGCTCCCATAGTTGCTCTTCCCAGTGAGATCCCTCGCAACTTCCTCGCCTCCTTTTTGTCCTTCACATGTTGTTGATTACATGGATATCCTTATCATCATAATCCCATTGTGACTCCATCTCTTCTTCATGATCCGAGTGATATCCCATCACGATTTTCACACTCTTTTTCATTGTCAAGAGTTTGAGAATGAGAGAATGGAGCTAGTAGAGTATTAGATTAAATAGATAATAAGTTTAGGGTAATACATAAATAAGATATTTTTGAATGTTATGCATGTCAAGCAAGTGAATATAACATAAATTTTCAGAACTTTCATTTTTCATCAACTATGCATAAATCTTATATTCTAAATTTTAAAAGTAAATCCAAACATTTCATATCCTTCTTCATTATATGGGCAATTCACATACAAACTATATAATTTAATGTATTTATTTTAATTATTTCATAATTATTCTAAGTTTACATCAAATATTTTATTGGATTTTATGCAATTAGGAACTTTTTTGAAATTGATCCCAAAGTTCTGTTATCTTAGATAGTGGTCATCCAATAAAAATTATTATTTTATAACTCTCTCTCTCTCTCTCTCTCTCTCTCTCTCTCTCTCTCTCTCTCTATGAAAGATATGCTATGTTACTTTCACTTTGTTTCTCATGTTAAAATAAGAACAATAATATGGTGAAAAATCATAATGTATATTTAATGTTTGATTGCATCTTTTTACTTAAATGCTGAACAAATAAGATCTCGAAATTTTCATATATTTCAGATGCATAGAACCTTTTATTTGTCTAGTTTGTTGAAGTGGCTTCCAAGCCAATGTTTATTATATTGGTTACATAATTGTTCTATCTTTGAAGATTAGTCAGAAGTTTTTAAGTAGTGCGTGGCTTTTCCATGTGGATCTAAGTTGGTTTTCATTTTCTTCTTACTTTAAAATGAAAATACAATATCTTCTAAAGAAGGCATGCCAAGTTTTGGCTATGTTTCTCATGCTAAACTTACAACAATAACTTGATGAAAGATGATTATCTATTTGTAGTTTGCAATTGTTCCTTTCTTTATTTAAATGCAAAATGAATGAAATACGGAAATCTTCAAATATTTATAACATTGTAAGCCCATTATCACATAAAACTCATTACTCACATATTTTATACTTTGCAAAAAAGTAGTTTTCAAAGCTAAAAATGGGTTCTATGGGTTGCTTAAAATAGGCCAATCAATTGTTTTGTCTATAAAGATTTGTCCAAAATTTCAAAGTAGTTTATTGTTTGTTTCATTGTAATCAAATATTTACCATAATTCAAGTGATCTCAATCTACTTTAAAGTTCATTTCATATACTTCCACATAAAAATTCATGTAAGTATTTTTATGATCATGTTACTTGCTACTTGATGTATAGTTAATATTATGCTTCTTGTATGTTGATTTCAATCAACTTCATAGATGTGGATTCTAGCATCCAATCTATGGATGATTCATCATCTGAGTAGAGAGAAGTCAATAAAAATCACAACATAAAATTTGATTATGTACAATATATAGCCATTTCCATCACAAAATTATTCATAAAGAACAACTTATGGCTAAGTTTTGGGTCTCAAAATTGATCACTAAAATGCTTGTCACAAATATTAGTATAGCTTAGGATTTATTGGCTTGAGAGTATGCTTTTTGATGATGAGAAAGCACTTCTAACTAGCATTATGGAAGGTTTTGACCTAAGAGACATGCATTGCATATGTGAATAAAAGATAGGAAGCCGTAACATATATGTTGGTGTTAGGGTTTTTTAAATTGGATACTAATCCTATGGAGAAAATGACTTTAGGGATCTCAAAGTTCCATTTAGGTGAAAGAGAGCTTGTAAATATTATTACTCATTACGACCTATCAAATGGAGGTTGAACTATTATTAGAGAGTGCTCTTATGGGTTCACCTTTCAAGAACATTATTTATGAGAAATATTAATAATAATGTTGAATACACGTTTATTATTTGAGGTAAATACTTCTTCCTTTGAAATGTTGATTAATATAATTCCCTAAATTGTATTTATTTCATCATATCAATTATATTATATCCCGCTAACCATGATCTCCACTAGTAGTTTTTAAAAATACTAATTATTATTATTATTATTTAGAATTTCATAATAATCATTATATATAATAGTATAATACTTTTTAGTGAGAATATCAAAAGAAATTACTGCTTCAATTATGTTGGTTGTAGTATTTCTCCCAATTTTTATAAAAGTTTAATGGATTACTTTGTATGATTTTCTCATGAAATATGTTGTCTCATCGCGTTTGCAATTTTTAATGTCATAACATGCAATTTCTTCCAATAAATTAGGGAATTTAACTATCATGAAGCTACTATCATGTTTATCGTGTGATATAAAAATAGAGAATTGAATCAAATAAATGCTACTACATCTTTGTAATCGATATATATTTGCAATTATAGGCTTGGAAATATTCTTTGCATTCATCATTGGGTGCTACTCTTAATTTTGACTTGTGAAATCCTTGTTCAAACGTAATCCATTTATAATTCATGCATCTTTTTCTTTGCTTTTTTCATTAATGACAATAATTTAGTGATCAATATTTCTAGGTGAATTTTTTCATTAGTCGACAAAAGAAGATAACACGATATTGTCTTTGTAATGGTTATCTTCATGAAATGGGCAACTTATGGAGATGTTTTTGGAATGAGCAAGCTTTCAGGTCTAGGAAAAGCTAAGGTGATGAGAATATTAGGTTGGAATAAGCTATTTGTTTTTTTATCTCTTACTTTGAGATAAACTCAAAAAAATCACAACTATTTATATCAGTGGCACCACCATTAGAATTGTGCCAATACATTTTAATTTAATGACTACAATTAACTCTCTAAAAAACTCTTCTATGTTTTATCATAAAGTTATTAAACGATATTCTACATACTATACCACAAAGTCATTAAGTTTCTAGGATCTTCAAAAGATTTTTTAGAATTTGGACTTTAATTAGACAACTAAAGCCCAAATAACAATGTTCTAAAATCAAGTTTAATTTCTTACAACCCCTCTGTGATGTCCCGGAATCTAATTTGGAATAATTCTTCTTTTATCTTTAAATTTATATAAACAGAGCTATATAATTTCTTTTATCAATGTGAATACCAGCGGAAATAAAACTATCGATTAAAATATCAATATATATATATATATATATATGTTGTATAATAATTTTTTTGGGATTTAAAAATTATAAAATGTGATAAAGTATGTTAATTTAGTATTTTGCATAATCTCTATGAATTTGATAATTTTTTTAGTACTTTGATTTGGCAACTAAAATGCGAGGGTTCTCTGTACTAATTGATATATGAATATATTTACTTTAAAAAGCTTTAATTGCATATTACATTTGCATTACCTTTTATCTCATAATATTCTGGAGTTTTTAAATTGAAAAGAAAACATTTTGAAATTTTCTGTCTGGGCCCAAGGTGGATACATTTTGTACTGTATTATTCTGTTCTGGCCTTGAATTGATTTTATATTGGAAGTTTTCTTCTATTCAAATTCTTCACTGCACCTATCTTGAATAGATATGAGGTAAAAGATTAGGAGTTATAAAGGGCATAAGTATAAGAGCATTTTGTATTCATATGTGTGCATTATACTTAGAACTTAAAAAGTTAAACAATACTTTTATGATTCTATTTCAATTATATCTTATTATGAATTAAATTTTATATAATGAGAGAGTGGGTGTTAGCCTAATGAGTTTATACCCATTCCGTTGTTTATTACATTTCAATAAAGGATAAATATCTTGTTGAGTAGGCCCTGTTAGACAGAGAGCATGAAGGTCATGCTTTAGCAGTTAATTAGAATTTATTTATAATTTTGTAGTTCATATTTAATTGAGTATTGTTGGAAACATTATAATATGGACTATTATAATTAACTATTTTGGGAAGAGAAGTTATGGTTTGCCAACTCTAAATATTTATATATTCTTTATGATTAGCTGGTAGCTTTGTGTATATTCATTTGGAAAAAATAAATATTAGAAGTATAGGAAAGAATGTTCAAATTCCTTCTTTAGGTCTTGGGATGTTATATCCTGCCAAAACCTCTGTAAATTGAGCTCTTCTAGGTTGAATTCCTTTTATTAACCAACCTCATACTAATTCTCCATATACTAAGTATTATGTCACCACTTAGCCACTTATTACCTTCAGATAAATCCTTTATACCTAAAATGACTTGTGGAGCTCATGAGGGTATTTAAGTGTTGCATTATAGTGTTTAGGTTTTTAAGATATTAATAAATCTCCTGTGAAGTCCTCGTGTTGCACCCTCTTTTTAACCAGCCTTCTTTTTTTTGACAGCCTTCTCGATGGCCTACGAACCCCTCTCAATTTTGGCTCGCTGCGCAT